AAATATATACAATTATAGAACCACCTAGAGATCAATATCATATGTATCAATAATAAACAGTAAGAATCATACTTGTGAAAATTTCACAATTGTATCAATGTTGTTATTCTAATAAATAAATTCATACACTGTGTTTAGAAGACAATAGATTTATTAAGAAACATTTTGAGCCTTTTGATTTATTCTCAACTTGCAATTTTTTTCCACCCAATTAATATCTCCAAATAGAAAAGAAAAACAAATGTTATTCCAATGACCTTGAAACTATATCAAATCTAATATTGATCATAACAAATTATTAATAATAAAGATAAAAACATATGATTAATTTTATTATCATACTTTTTAAATGTTGATATAACTGAGTTACTGTATAGAGATTTCCTAATTTCTTTAAGATAAGCAAAAACTATGTTATTTTTAAAAAAGAAATATTTGTTAACTATAAATTGAAGATCATTGTTGTTGTTGTTTTTTTTTAAATGGTAGAAATAAAAAATAAAATGATATAATACAACGTCACTTCACGCCAACGTTTATTACATGATTAGAATCATATTCTAAATAAAAAAATTTTATTACAATTTACTTTTTATTTTAAAAATGCATATCTATGAACAATCAACAAAAATACTATCATGAGTTTAAATTACTTAAGTGATTACTCCATTTTTGTTTTAAATGAATAAAAATAATATATCATTTCATTTCCAAAAAAAGTATTTCATTTATGATGATTAAGCAAAGTGATTTTAAACACTTAAATTTCCAATTATTTGCATTATTGCTTGATATTAATTTCAACACATTTTATTTTTAGTTTTCATCTCACAAATTTATTACTTGTTTATTCATTACTTGTTTATTCATNAGAGATTTCCTAATTTCTTTAAGATAAGCAAAAACTATGTTATTTTTAAAAAAGAAATATTTGTTAACTATAAATTGAAGATCATTGTTGTTGTTGTTTTTTTTTAAATGGTAGAAATAAAAAATAAAATGATATAATACAACGTCACTTCACGCCAACATTTATTACATGATTATAACACTTACTCCTGTAACGCCACAACATGTAAGTGTTATAATCATATAAAAAATAAAAAATATATATTTTTGAAATACACTGTTATTACAAAATGATCAGAATAATAAGTATCTAAAATAACTAACATTTTGTAAAAATAAAATTTATTTGTAAATTTATCATAAACTTATCTATTCTTTTATATCTTCTTTATTCTTGATTGTTTTTGTAATAAATGTTTAAGAATTATTACAAACAATTTTGTTATAGTTTAAAGCTTTAATATTCATATAACAAATAAGATTGAAGTATAAAAAAATTAAATAAATTTATTCATGCCTGTAATTTTCACATTTGTCAAAATTATTATTTTGTAATTTTTATATGTTCTTATAAATCAAAACATTGTTATTCATAAATAAGGGCCAGACTTCTATGCACATGCATGATTTTCTTCTTAAATGCTATGATGTTGAAATCTTGATATAAACACTATTTGGATCCAAATGGATCAAATTAAGGTTGTCAAATAATTTTATATACATTTATGATTTTTACTGCATATTTTGCAATTTAATCATTTTCAGAACATAAGTGATTTATAAACTTTGTAGCTTGTTTGCATGATTGTAAGTGCTATTTTTTCAAATCAAATGATCAGTCTGTTTCTGTTAAATGTACAGTAAATCTTTTTTGCACATGTATAGTTTACATGAGAAATATCATTCCACCAACCAATTATTGATGAGTGCATAAAATTCAAATGTTTTAAATTTTAACTGTCTAATTGTGATTCTTTTCATGTCCTGTAAACACATTTTTCATCATCATGGAAAGCTTTCATTTTTCAAATTCTCAAAATTCTTTGAATTAAAATTATTATAAATGTTATATTTATTAATTTAATAATGTTAAATTTAAATATTTCAAATAGCTGTGCAAGTACAATGTTTACTTAAATATACAGTAGATAATTTCTTATGAGTAAAGAAATCAAACTTCCATGTATGAAGCATGTGCAGAAAAAATTTTTATATTAACTTAGATTCAACCAACAATATGGGTAAAACAATAAAAATCTAATATGAAATTGTTAAGAAAGTATACACAAGGATTTAAATCCTAAACATTTAAAACAGACAGAAATTCTTTATTGTAATGTATGCCACAAATCATTTCCTGCTAAAAAAAAAAAAACATTTGTCATAATGTATTTATATTAAATTATATTTGCTGGTATATTTTGAAGGTTTTGTTGGTTATTTACTAGTGTATAACCAGCTTTGGAAAGATTTAGAACTAAAAAAAATTATATCCTGCACAGTAATTTGGATCCTATCCAATGTAGTGTGCAACAAACTTTATCATGATATCAGCTGGGAACAAAATATTGGTATCAACTTTGACATTACATCTATAATTATTTAATAACTTAATAAGAGCATTTAGTCATTTTTCATTATTCATATAAGCTTATAAACAAAAACAAGACCACTTTAGACCAGTGACTTAACTATTGGACAAGGAAACTAGGTTAACTCAGTTATCCTCAAACATCTTTTAAATAATTGTGTATATAAAAATAAATTCAATTATTATTGAATTTATTTTTATTTTTTATATTTATTAGATTTAAATAGAAAGTTATAAAATTTTACTGAAAATGTAACTAGAAACTTCAACAAAATTTTATAATTTTCTATGTAATCTAATTGTCTTGACTACACACCTACATGAAACATAATTCTAACACATGTTTTGGGATGTCATAATTTTCAAATTCTTTGTGTCACCTATTATCACATATTTATTCCCTCCCACCTAGAAAGTGTAAAGTAACAGATTTTATTTCTGTCTAAAAGCAAATCTTAGTAAAGTATATATGCATTTCAATCTACAAATTTTAATGTTACTAGCACTTTTAACATTCATAATGCATATTTCAGACATTTTAGTGTGCATATAGCATGCATATATCTGGCATTTTTATGTGCATATGAATGTGCACATATTGCAATTTTAAACACAAAAATATGGCCCTTATTCATGAACAATTTCATATCAAAATAATTTCAAGCAACTGAAATAATCTGTTTGTTCTTATTGAATAAGTGCTAAGATAAACAGCAGAAATTTTTAGAACATATTTCAGCAAAAAAACTTTTTATACTATTTATTAACTCATATTAATAGTAAATCATTTATATTAAATAATTCACATTACTAATTCTTCTTTTTTTTTTTTAATTTTATCCAATTTATTGATAATATATTGTAACCCAGTATCAAAAAATAAATACAAATATATTCCCAATTTTGCTTAGTTATTATTATTCAAAATACTAAAGGTTAAGCATTCTAATGACAATGTTATAATTCAACTAAAACAGTGATATATATTACTGATTCTTATAATTATTATTGATTTAAAAAAAAAACATATACATGTTGTTATACAAATGAGACTTTTTAATCAATTAACAGAAAAAGCTCAAATATCTCAAATATAACTGAAATCATCTGCCATAATAATATGATGTCTCTAAATCAACCAAAGGAGTAAGTAAATTTAGCCATGTACTAAGGATGTTGAGTATGGTAAATAAATTTTGATATATTACCTTCAGAAGTTTAATTTTTTCATTGTAGATATTAAAGTATAAAAATCACTCCAAGCATTCTTGGAAACCCTGCATAAAAAATTATTTTATATGTTTAAAAAGCTAAATATATGTAACAGATAATTTAATAAATCTAAAGGAAAAATTGGTTTTTGTAAGTACAGCATATTCTATATGTTTACTGCATAACCTGAGAAAATGAAATATAATTCTGGCTAGAAAATCTTTAAAATTAGATTTGAAATAGTATTGTTTCTGAGTTAATTTCTCACATTGTAATGACATAAATTCCTGTTTATAGGGCATATTGACAAATTTTAATCAATTTACATTTGAAAATAATTTATAACATATTTACTCTGTATATGCTAATTATTCAATCTTATGAAATCTTCCAAATTTAGTTCAGTTTAACCTTTTAGAAAAATATAGTATCCAATAAATAGTTTTTAGAATTGAAATAAATTCATAGATATAAACTGTTCCAGCAATAATTCAATTAATATCATCCATGATTCATTTAAGCAAAAGGTTTAAAACAAACTACTATTTCTTAAGATTTTGTTTAATTTTCATTAAACCACAATTCAAAATTTTAAATCTAATATATAAGAGATGATTTTTTTAATGAAATATATTCAACAAGTATAATTTAAGAATAAATCTGCCATAAATAAAAATAAATTTATTACTTTAAACAATTCATATTGACATCTGGTTTTAGAATCTTCATAACTTCCTGTTGAAGTGTTTTTCTATCCATTTAAAACCCTAAGAATTCTTCTCAATGCCTATATTTCTCTTTAAATAAGATTTTGACTCTAGTTTTCCAATATTCATTAGTAAAGTGCTTATAAAAATAGAAACATTACAAATTATATCTGAAATTTTATATTTAGGAATACAACTTTCTAAAATTATGCAGTATACCAATAGAATACCCTATATTGTATTATATAAGTGATTAATTTCAACATCATTAATTAAGTAAAGTCATTCCTCAAAATATAAAATTTTTCATACTTTAAACATTGAAATAAAATGTTAAGTACAATTTTAAAATTACATTTGAATATTCCTATTTAAAAGAATTTTAACAATTTTTTTCTCTTTCAAAAAGAAAATTTCTTAACTTTCCAAAAAAACTCTTGAAGTTTAAATTTTTCATTCAATTTCAATCTTAATTTTGTATTCCACCTAAAATATATTGAAATTCTTCTTAATTATATGTGAATAAATAATAATTTTAAAATAGTTAAGAATATGTATTGATTATTTAAAGCATATCATTTAAGTAAACATATTTTTTATAACTAAATTATTAAATTATAATTTAAAAAATAAATTCTTACTGCAAGGAACTTCTTAATTTTGGCATCAAGTATTTCTTCTTTTTTCCAAGTTTGGCCTAAAACTTCCTCTCCTGTAAATTAATTACAGACAAAAATATTTTATTTTAGTTAACTGATTTATTGTATATAATTTTAACTGTATTTAATAAAATTTATAAGGAAAAAAATGCACTATTATAACTAAATAACAATTCCATGGATCCTATATTCTATACATATTTACATATATATGTATAAATTCATATTGATGAAGACAATTTCAATAATATTTTTAAGTAACAGAAAATATAAAATAAATACATTTGATGTAAATATTTTCATCTTTCTTTATATAATGCATTTTCAAATATACAGAATTGTTCAGATGAATCAGTTAGAACAGATTTAAATAAAACTCTCCGTGTAGAAGATTCAGGACATTTTACTTATAATACATAGTTTGTTTTTTTAATGAACCAAGTAAAAAGTGTCTTTGGGGACATGATATATGTAAAAAATAATCCTTGCATAACTTTATTCTTGAACAATAATAAAATAATTTTAATTAAGAAAAATAATGTTACAACCATTCATCAATTAAATTAGAAGATATTTAGATTAAAAAATTTAGAATATTCTTGAATTTAAATATTTTCAATTTTAACTGAAGTAAAATTCTTCTTCATACTGCTGTAACATTTGATGTAAATCGATTATAGATAGTAACTATTCAATTAATGATTTTCAATAACATTTTTGTTGTATGATTAATAGAATTTCAAGACATGTACTTAAGGCAGGAAGTGTTTGTTCAAAAATTTGTCAATAGGTAATCATTCTATCCACAATGTAGGTACAGGTAACTTACCAAGCTTTTCAAAGTCAATGTGTCCTCTTGACTTTGATCTGATACATTGATCTTGTTGCATTTGATTCTTAATTAATAAACAATCAATAAGAGGATAACTTCAATACTAAACTAAACGATCACTGTAATTAATCAGGCTATTATTTTACTACTATTAATAATTATAAATTCTAATTATTAATAATAGCAAAACAATAGCCGATTAATTATGGCAATCATTTGGTTAAGTATCAATGCATCAGGCTTTAATATGTTTATTACATAGATAACTTCAATTTTCAAAATATATTTTGATTTTGAGAATTGAAGTTATCCTCTTTGATTGTCTTTTGCTCTTATATATCTTACAAACTTTCTCTAACACACTAAAAACAGTATTTTATGGCTGAAATTTTAATAATTCACAATCATCTGTTTTTGATGCTTCAAGTTTTTGCCACAATATTGTTAAAGCAATTCAGACTAATATATTTGTTCTATAAATTAGTTATCTTTAATACCTTGAATAAGTTGTGTGCAAAAAAATCTATAGTTGACATGTCTCTTCCACATTTGCATTTCACCTTAAACTCAGTCAGTGACATCATACCATAAAGAAGCTACATTTTATCATCAGTTTGATAGGTTGATAAAAAGTAATATTAGATACTAGTGTACTTTCTTCAAGATCTGATGGTTTTCCAATATAATGATAAATTTGTCATATTCAAGTTCTCCTGGGACTCATGCACTACTAAGGCTGCAAAAATATTTTAATTCAATACACCTATAGAATTGATCAACATTTTGGTACTCTTTTTCTCTGGTCTTGAAAAGTTTTTTCATTTTAACATAATTAAATCTTGAAACAACATTTGTGAATTATTTCTTTACAGGAAAGAAGTATTAATCCTCACCAATAATTGCCTTGTCAGACCATAAAGATGGTCTGACAAGGCAAGTATTGATGTGGATTAATGTTTCTTTTTTCTAAAGAAATAATTCACAACATAGAAACTACAACATAGTTCCAAAGTATGAATGTCAATAATATTTGAAGTTTTTCTTTTTGGGGGATTAAAGACATGTTTTAGTTTTACTTCCTTTTTATTAGGGCAGTCATTCAATGACAAAAAAAATAAGTATACAATGTTGCCAGTACAGAATACAATAAAACCATTAAAATCAATTTTCTTTTAATACAGAAATTTAATCACTTCTATTACAGTTTCCACAGTTATCTCATAAATGTCAATGTAATTACTTTACAACCATAGTATCAAAATAAATATTTTTATTAATTTATGTTAAATAAAATGTGTGTTTGAATTAAAACTTCCATTAAATTTTAATATTAATTTTTGTCAACATATTTATGTAAAATTGGAATAATAAGAAAAATGGAATTATAACCGTATTAAACTTATCATAAGTTGACATTCAAAAAATCTGACAACCTCTGGAACCAAGGAGTGCCAGATTTTTGAAAATGCCAAATTTTTTATGGTTATATATGCTGTATATATTTAACAGAAAATGACTACCTGTATAATCCTTTAAAGAAAGAAAATTAAACAGTAAATGAAAAGCAAATAAAATTTTAATATTCATCAACTAAATAAAACAGTTCTACAGAATTTTAGTTAGGCACCTCCTGAAAACAGTGGCATGCCAATGCAGTAAATTTGAAAATGCAGTCCAAACTCCATGCTGGAAATCTAAAGAAAGCAGATTATTGATGGCCGGATTTTTGAATGTCAACCTGTACTCCTATATGAACTACACTTGTACAAATACAGACTCTAAAACCATCTAATCCAGTAAAAATTTTTTTTATTCAAAGGTTTTCAATTGTCTTAATCTTCTTCAGGAAAAATTACATTCTAAGAGAACAAATGCCTAGCCTTAGGCATTTTAGAGTTGGTAACAATATTAAAGAAATGTCATATGTAATTTAATGAAGAATAAGAAAAATACAATAAAAAAAAGAATTTGCAACAGAAATTTGTATAGAACATAAAAATGAAGTATAAAAGTGAAAAAAACATATGAAATAAAATATTAACAATGTGAAGACAACTTTAACTCAAAAATTATAAACAAAAAATTAAATAAAATGGATCAAAGCCAAACTGCTATTCAAAGAAACCATCTCTACAGTTTAATGTAAAATGTTTTAAAATAATAGTATCTGTTACCAGTGTAAATCGTATTATATAAAAAAATTGTATTATATAAAAAAAATCTGTACATTCTATTTTTTGAAGCATTCCATCAGTTTTACCTGAGGAAGAACTATCTTAAAAAGTTCGAGAACATTTGTGAAGAAACAGGTTCTGGATTTAGTGTTGATTTCACCTTCAGTGTTAAGGTGATGTTGAGTTTCTAACAATAGTACCATTAAAGAAATTTAGATTATACAATAATAAACAAAATTTTAAAATATCTGAAATTTAGAAATATATAGTATTAAGAATTAAAAAAAAAAAACTCATATTTGGTCAAAAAGTCTAGAAATGTTCACTTTATTTTTCATCCATTCATAACATAATAATGAGTCATATCTGAATTGCTGTAGACATATGAAAACATAATAATGATTCATAAATAGAAACCAGAAATACACAAGAAACTCAAAGTTTCTAGATATGCACAAATCATATGTAAATTATGTCTATCACATTTCCTCAAACCTCAAAAGTACTCTTAATCACATTTGATGTAGCATTGTTTTTGCAATTAATCTGAGGATGAAATCATGCTACTGAGTTCCTAACAAGTAAAATACTTTCAATATGCCTCTACAGACAGAAACTACCTCTTCTGCACTCTGTATCAATCAATAAACAGTACCAATTGACAAAGAGTATTTTAATCCTCTAAATTAGCAGTTTCTAATCCATAATACACATATCTCTTTTATAAAAAAAAAATTTCACATACCACTAATAATCATAAACTGGAAATAGTTAAATATCAAATAATTTTAAACAATTGCTTCATAATCATTCATTTTTAATTATTAATTTGCAATTTAAATACTACTGCACTTCTTTCAGTAATATACAAGATTAGTCAAAAAAACTCCAAGGTTTTATATCATCACTACACACACATTATTAAACATACTGTGAGGTATGAAAGGGTTTTTGTTGGCCCACTAAAGGCAAACACCTAACAAATCAAAGACACCATATATACAAGAAAGGATATTTTATTCATGCTTGATATAATTGTATACAGATACAATAAAGAATGCCAACTCTAGGATAGTTACTCCAGCAATAACCTAAAGCCCAATTGCTAGCAGAATAATTACAAAAATTAAAAATGACCACAACACACCTAATCACAATAATTCTCACCCATACAAAAAAACAAAAATAATTATCACAAAAATAAAATTCTTATAACTAACCCTTAATACTAACTTACACTAATATGGAAAAATTAAGATAGGGCCAAGTAGTAGTAAAAATTGTGAATAGGACAGAAAGATATCCAAGTCATGCAAACATCTTTCAGTCCTCATTGTTTTGAAGGATCATGTGGAATTTTACACCAAAATCACACTTTCTTCTCTTTCTCTTCAGTTCCTGATGGCTATTATAATCAAGCCATCAATTACTAATTAGATCATGACTGTTCTATAAGCGCAATGTAGCATAATAACGATCACTTGGCACTATTCACTTCTTTATTTCACTTTTCGTTGAATGAAAAGTGAAATAAAGAAGTGAATAATGCCAAGTGATTGTTATTATGCTACATTGCGCTTATAGAACAAATAAAAAGAACAACATGGTTTCAAAACATAGTAGAAGATCACAACTGGTCAAATTCAATACAGAATTCAGCACACTAACTTTGGACCAGGAATTTCTAAGATTTCCTCTTGAAGCTACAACTTTATTTGTATACTCAAGGTGCTAGACAATTCCACACACCGTCCCTCAGTTCATTTCCTCTCTTTGAGCACTAGCTCAAAAGTGACCCTTCTTGACCTCATATACCCTCAGGTAATCTCACTCATTATACTAGTTATTCCAAGAAGTGGCCCTCACCTCCAAAAAAGAAGAATTAAGGACATTAGAAAGTTCTAAAAGGGAAAAAAAATGAACAGGGAAAAAATTTAAGAAAAAAAAAAAGAAAAGAAAAAAACAGACATATGGCATACAGTCACAATACCTTGACATAGAAAGTATTAATAAAAACAACAATAACTGTGAAAGTTTTCTGGTTCTT